ATGATGTAATTTCTGAATTATATTTTAGGATAATATTAAGAGCGATTGATCTTTGTTTACTAGTAGTTGTAATAATACGAACATGGAGTTTTTTTTCTTTGTAATAACCGCGAATAGGAAATGCCTTTATATGTTCTGTCTGGAGTTCTGTCATATCTACAGTTCCCCCTTCGCCATCTTTTCCATTGGCAATAATATTTTTTATTTCAGTTTCGAATATATCAATATTTTGGTTATCAGGAACACGAATATCAAAGAAAACTTTTATACCAGAAAATGTAACTACAGCTTTTTGGCCATTAACAAGATAACCGTAAAGTCATAAAACATAGTATAGGGTATTATTTATATACTCATTATATTTCTCTATGTCACAAGGCATAAATGGGATATCTTTCCCAATAATTAAATCCTGATTAATAGTCGCTATTGATCCATAGTCATCATTTTCAGCAATTATCACATTGCGACTCAGATGGGTTGGTAAATATTCTTCTTCATTGTAGTAAAATACCTGGCTTTCCTTCTTACTTTCCGAAATCTTTGATTGAGAAAAAGCTCTAAACCCCTGGAAGTAGAACGCCCCGTTATTTTCTTCTGGCTCGAGTTCGAATTCTGGCTCGAAATTCTCCGAGTTATCCACGGTTGGTGTATCGGGTACAATAGGTATGCTATGTTTATTTTGGGTACTCATGTTTTTTCTGAAAGAATATTATTCGGAATTAAAAAGTTCAAAATGAAAATTAATTCTAAAGAATTTTAATCAATACATATTATATACTCAATCGAGATAAATATCAAAAAGAATGGCATTTTATCGTTGTCCCTATATCCTTAGAACTGGTAAAGTCTGTAATCGGCCATGTTATCATCTCAATGGGTGTAAAGTTCACCGGGATTCACCTATTCGTTATCCTTACAAAGAATATGGTTGTGTTAAGTTAACTAATTCTAGTTATGGTTATTGTGATACTCATGCGCAGAAACATCGTAGAAGAGAGTATAGGCATCAGAAAAAGCTGGAGAAGGTGGCAGAAAAAAATATATAGTATGAAGGTGTATGTTGGAGGGTCGCGTCCACTTTTTCTTGGACGAATTTTTTCTTTGACGAATTTCTTAGACGAAAAAAGATAGCTAGTTAATATTTTTTCGTCGAAAGAAAAGGTTTTAGACTAGTCGTTCAGATTGTCCAGGTTGTCTAGGTAAATTTTCGATCTTCTTACTTTTATATTTTTTATCTATGTGTATAGAACATATGCATAGATATGTATATAGCATATATATACCAAAGATATGATATATAGCGTATACCATAGAAAAGAGTTTGATATTTTTTCCTAGAATTCTATTTTTTATCTAGACAACTTAGACAAAAATAGAACAAGTATAGAAGAACAAGTTAAAACAAAAATAAACCGTTTTCTCCTATAATATTATTCGTCCAAGTTGGCATATTTTTACTTGGATGATACCTGGACGATATTTTTTTCTTAGACGTAAGCAGATCTATTTTAACCACATTCTAGGATAGCATTTACATAATATATTTGATAGCATGACCAGATAGTATATACCTGATAGCATACCTGATAGCATTTGTGCGATATATTTCGTATACATATTTGATAACATATATCCAATAACATGTCTCGATAACATAACTCGATAACATAATTGATAGCACTCGATAATATTTGCGTGATATATTTACCTCCACAAATGATATACAAATTGCAATCAGGTTGTCAAACTCGTAATAAAGCCAACCCAGTAGCATAACCTACCTCAGCTATTTTATTGCAATGGAAATCAGTCGTCATCTCATTTTATCTCCACTAATCCACTCATCAAACTCGTGATGAGGCCAACTAGATAGCATAACCTACCTCAGATATTTTATTGTAATAGAAATTAGTCAGAATTACCATCCTGATATACAATAGTTTACATGACAACGGTGTCATATTTTTGTCGTCACGACACGTACCTAGCTTGTTATAACTTAAATCAGGAAGTGTCCTATACTTGAAATAAGTCACAGACGTTAAACTGGTATACTACGAAAATGTGTCATAAAATATAGATCACGACACTGACGACAGTATCATATTTTTGTCATCAAATTTTTTATAGATTATGAAGGTATCCAAGTGTGATGACGTGAATACAAATTCATCGTCATATTTTTTATAGATCATGAGTACCTAAATATGACGATGAACTCATGAACCAATCGTCACTCGAATGACGATACATATACGATCTTGTCGTCATTCGAGAGACGATGAACTCATGAACCAATCATCACTTGAATGACGATGCATATACGATCTTGTCGTCATTCGAGTGGAAATAACCTAGACTAAGTGGAAATAACATAATTATATTATTTCCACTAGTTGAAATAAATTTCTCCATAATATTAAAGAACTCGTCATCACAATTAAGCTGTATCATCAGATTTAGTACTTTCTTTGCTATTTCATATCCCTTAGACCAACGTGTTTTCTTACTGACAGATTTTTGCAGGATAGGTATAAATACATTAGAAACATGAAAATGAGGTAAATGCCAAAAGTCAATTATATAAGGGATATTATTAGGTTCTAAGGGCCTATTAGATTCACACAATTTAATAGGTGGAAGTGAAGTAACAAGATCTTTATTTTCATTCATCTTGTTATCCTTATACCAACAGGTTGATATTAAGGAAATATAGAACCTAGCAAAATGTGATTTCATTAAAACTTTTATGAAGTGACAGCAGACGATTCCTTTACTGATTAAAGTAAGGCAGGTGCAAAATATATGCCATCTATAAGTATTATGATATGATAGTTAAAGTGGCCCAGAAATAATCCTTGAGGTGATACGGTCCAAATTTGAACAATATCCTTACTTTGTAACTGTTGTAATAGTACTTTAAAACCAGTTTGATGCTATTCGTAATCATCCTCTAAACATCCATTTTCAACAATGTTTTTTGGTTCTGAAGGAAACTTATCCCATTCGTAAAACATTTTAGTAGTGTCATACAAAAAACTTTTAGAAAGCTGCTGCCGTTGAGTAGAAAGAATATGAGGAGTTAAATATTTTTGAATTAATGA